TCAGATGTAATCTTCCCCGACACCGGAGCCCCCCCCCCTCCCCCACCATCCCCCCTCCTTCCCCGCCTCCCCCCCCCCCCCCTCCCCCCCCCACCACACACACCGAGAGCCGACTTTGGTCGAGAGCTGTGTGCTGTGTAGAGCCGGGATTACGAAAGCGGCGACGGTGCGACAATGCTACATTGTCACGACTTCATTTCGAGCGCGGCAGAGGGCAGTGATCGAGGAGGTCGCCACAGACGCTGTCAGCTCGGGTGTGACGAGGTGGCCGAGCTGCGTTGGCTGAGCTCTATGCGCTTCTTGTGGACGATGGCGAGCATGCGATGGAAATGCTGCACCTCGTGGGCGAGGTACTGCTGCTGGAGAGCGCGCAGGTCGTTGTCAGACTTACCAGCGTCGCGGGCCTTGCGCAGCTGCGAGAGGAACCGCTGCCGGAGAACGGCGATGAGCTGAACGGCGGTGACCGTCTGGGCGTTGATGCGGCTGCCATCAGGCGGCGGGACGGGATTAGCCTCAAATTGCCGCCTGGCAGCAGCGTACATCTCGAGGACTTGAGGCGGCACGGCAGGTCGCTGCTGTGGCACGTTAGCTGGCGCAGGAGCAGTCTGTTGCGACTGGGCTCCAGCCTGGGCGCGAGCCTGAGCTTCTGCGCGAGCACGGGCTTGTGCCTGTGCTTCTGCGCGAGCCTGAGCCTGAGCCTGAGCCTGGGCACGGGCCTGGGCATCGGCCTGGGCGCGGGCCTGAGCTTCTGCGTGAGCGCGAGCCTGGGCCTGGGCCTGGGCGTGGGCGTGGGCCTGAGCCTGGGCGTGGGCCTGAGTCTGGGCGCGGGCCTGAGTCTGGGCGTGGGCCTGAGTCTGGGCCACAGAGTGGGTGGCACCAGGTGCCGGGGCGGCGCCGACTGGCTTGCCAGCCTTCTCGCTCTCCTTGCCCTTGATATAGGCGATGAGCGACTCTTCAGTGCTGATGTAGCGCGAGACGGTTGCGATGCCCTGGTTGAGGGCCGCAAACTTGGACTGGAAGATCTCCAGCTCGGATGCCGAGAGCTCTGGGCGTGACTTGAGCTCCTCAAGCTCCTCCCTGAGCCGCTGGAGGCGAACGGTGAGGATGTGGTGCTTCTTCTGGATAAAGAACAGATACAGGGCCTTGAACTGCAGCTCCTCGTCCATGAGCGAGATCTGCTTCTGGGCCTGTGACGAGAGCGACTTGTACACTGCCTGCATGTCCGCAGCCGACGGCGCCGGCGACTGAGCTCGTGGCGCCGCGGCGGGCGGCACCGGCTGCTGGCTCTGGCCCTGGCCCTGGCCCTGAGCATGAGTCTGGGCCCGCGAGTGGGCGAGGGCGTGGGCTTTGGCTTGGGCCTGAGCCTCGGCTTGGGCTTGGGCTTGGGCATGGGCTTGGGCCTGGGCTTGAGCTCGGGCCTGCTTCATGCGCTCAGCCTCGCGCGCCTGATTGTGCGCCTGGAGCTGGGCGGGAGAGGGAGCAGCAGGCATGACGACGCCGGCATGATGTTGGCGATGCTGCTGGTGGACCTGGTGGCCCTGACCACCATGCGAGGCTTGCGCAGCCTGAGAGGCGTGGGGCACCGGCGAGCTTGGGTGGACCGGCATGTGGATAGCTTGCTGGGCCTGCTGCATCTGGTGGAGCTGACCGCCCTGGCGAGCGTGATGGGGATGGTGGGCAGCCTGTGGGTGCTGGTTGGCAGCGTGGGCACGAGCATGCGGGTTGGGGCGAGCCTGCATCTGCTGGGCCTGCTGTACTTGGCGGGCATGGAGAAGCTGGGCGTTGGCGTGGGCTTGGGCATTGGCGTGGGCGCGGGCCTGCGCGTCATCGACGCCGTGCACGGGCGTGATGGGACGCGAAGACGGGCGCGAGGACGGGCGCGAGGACGGGAGGTGAGATTGGCGCGCTGTGCGGGCCTTGTTCTTGAGGGCGACGTCGCGAGCTTGCTGGACCAGCTGTGCTTGGTGGATCTGGATGGACGGCTCGGCACGGGCGCATGCACGGACGAGCTCCTGATACTCGGGCGAGGAGCGATCGCTCGACTTGACAGCGTTGAGGGTAGCACGCGGGTCGTAAAAGACGCGGCGCGATGCGGCCGGATAGCCTGGGTAGCTCACGGAGCGGAGGCCATGGATCGAGCGGGAGGGGAGCGAGATGACCGGGCCCGAGCCTGCGCCGACCACGCCGTTGATCATGTCGTCGACGGATGGCGGTCCGGGGTCGGGTGGGGCGGCTGGCGCGACGACGACGGCGGGAGCAAGGCCTTGAAGCCTGCGCGAGCGACATCGGTTGCGTGGCCGTCGCCAATGGGGGACATGAGGCCCTTGTAGGCGACAGCAGTGACGCTATCGGACGCTGCCAACGGCGTCAGCTGCGAGCCCATAAACTCGCGGAGAAAGTCGGCACGGCGGGCGTAGACAAACGGCCGCTCGGCAACCAGAGGCGCGAGGGCATACGGCTCGGAGAGAGTTAGCGGCGAAGACGACGGAAAGTCGCTGCTAAACGTGCGTGGCGAGAGGGTGGCCCAGGCGCCGGTCGACCGGGCCGAGGCCAGCGGGGAGTATGCTCCCATAGTGACGGTGAGCGGCGCGAGGTCTGCTTGGAGCCGGGTGGCAAGCACCTCGGATCCAAGGACCATTGGGGTGGGCGACGGCGAGGCCGAGACGGCGGCGCTGGTCCGGCCGGGCCGCGAGACGAGCGGACGAGGGCCGCCAGTGCGCTTCCGCTCCTCGCGCGAGCGCATGTACTCGTTGAGCAGGTCCTCGAATGGCGCCGAGCGGCCGACAACTTTGCGCTTGAGCGTGATCGAGTGCAGCTTGCAGCCGAGGGCGCGCGAGCATGCGGCGCCTTTCTTATCATTGTAAACGCCACACATGGTGTCCGGGTCGAACGCGCGACGGGAGCCGCGCTTGCGGCGCTTGGTCAGCAGCTCGGCGTCGGCCGGCATGGAGGCCTTGCGCTTGAGCGAGGCCTCGCTGGCGGCAGCCGTGGCGGCGGCCTCTGCAGCAGCAGCAGCGGCGGCAGCAGCAGCAGCAGCCGACGCAGCTGTCGACGAGGCGTCGGCGCGGCTACGAGCCTGCGACCGTTTTGTCTTGCCCGAGGTGAGCGAGGAGAGGCGGGCGGTGGCAGCCTGGTGCTCACGAGAGATCTCGACGGCGCGAGCGACCTTTGCCCTGCGGAGGGCGACTAGCTTGACGCACTCGATGTAGTGCGACTTTGCACGCTGGGCGAGGACGAGCATGCGGCAGGAGCGGCACGTGGTGGTGAGGAGAGGCTCTTCCATGGGGCGGAAGCCAAAGATGGGCATGAGCGAGGCGTTGACGCGAGGGGCAGCCAGATGCTTTGCCGAAGCTGAGGGCGAGGGCGCAGGCCCTGCCGGAGCCACAGCAGCCAGAGCCGAGGTCCATGTCGAAGGCTCTGCCGGGGCCAGTTGTGGACGTTTCGACGACGGCCTCGGCAGTGGCGGCAAGACGTCCCAGTCTTCAGGCGATACAAAGATGGGCATATCAGGAGCAGCTACAAGACGGAGTACAGGAGGGTGATGGTGTGAGGTTGGTGGAGGCGTGACAGTTACTGCCACTAGAGGCCAAAGGCTGTTGTGTGGGAGGGGGGGGGGGGGAGGGGGGAGGGGGGAGGGGGGGGCGCATTGTGTGTCTGCGCCATCTGTGGAAGGAGGCTGAGGGGGCACCACATGCGAGGAGAAAGGGGGATACAGATGACACAGCAGTGCCTTGAAGAAGGAGCATGTTGTAGACATAGAATATAACCCCATGCTGCCACTGGGGTTGTTGTCCATAGCTGGGATGGCCTGGACAAGCGGCCAGGTCCAGGTCTGGTAGGTGGCCAGCAGTAGCTTTGGGTGGTGGGTGGGGAGAAACTCTCCCAAATGTCTCATGGCTCGGCTGATAGCCAAGGGGAAGATGACGCAAGCTCATGCGAGGCATGGGGGAGGGAGGGGGGGGTGGGTGGGTGGTGGTGGTGGTGGGTGGTGGTCGTACGGAGGGGAGGAGGGGGTCCCTCCATGAGTGGCTCGAGGGTGAGAGGGGTCACCGGTCTACGGTCTTGCTCCCCGCCAACTCGCGCTCGTCCTCGGTCGACTGCCGTCCGTTCGTCCGGCCCAGGTGGTCGAGGAGGCGAAGGGGGGGGGTGAGGGGTTGAGGAGGCGATCGGGCGCGAGGGGAGGTGTAGGGGAGGGAAGAGTTGGTGTGTGTGTGTGTGTGTGTGTGTGTGTGTGTTGTGTGTGTGTGTGTTCGTGTGTGTGTGTGTGTGTGTGTGTGTGTGTGCATTCTTG